AAATCAACACATTGAATTTTAAACTTGCGTGAATACGAATCGCTACATAGGTTTTTAAAAAGACGTAAATACGAATCACAATATCGGATTTTTAAATCTCGTAAATAAATCGCAACACGCAAATATGAAAAGATATGTTTGATATTAAAATCGTGTGAATAAGAATCGAGATATTAGCAGATTCCAGGCTTGGGACCTCTGAAAGGCTTGTCAGAAGCAGCGTCGTTTGAACTACGAAAATCGGATCCATCTGGAGGGCGGGTAAAAAATTCGGAAAATCTTATCTGCTGCGTGTAAAGGGGAGAAAATAGGTAAAATAAGTAAAAATGAGAAAGGATTGGTAGCTATGTAGTTTGAATTTTCTGTTCCTTTTTGAAAATCGGTGAATTTTCTGAAAAAGCAGAATACTAATTTAAAAAAATGAAATTTTTAGAAAATCTGAATTTTTGATAAAAAAAAAGCTGAAATTTAAGAAATAAAAGTGAAAAAAGCGGAAATCCGCTAAAAAACGGAAAAATCTCATCCCTGAAGGACAGAATTTAAAAACAGAAGCTAATATCCTAATCCCTTCTTCCACCTCCACCACAATCTTTCCTAAATTGCACAGTCCCATAGCGGTCAAAGGTTTCTACATTCGTTCAGCAACCGTGGGAGAATTTATGTGGCATTCTAGTTTAACAGAATGAAGCAAATTTTGATGCATGCAAAGTATCGCTAAGTTGATAATATTTCAAATGTTTGGGAGATACATTTCCGCCTAAAAAAAGTGGGTATAATGGATGAAATAATTTAAATTAAGAAAATTAATAAATATTTTAAATTAATGAAATTAAAAAAAATATCAAAGAAAAAATTTCCAGCTTTTCTTTAAAATTCCCTGATTTTTCCAGGTTTTTATCTAAATTTCCCTGATTTTACCAGGTTTTTTCAAGTAGAAAAAAATTCCCTGATGATTCCGTGTTTTCAAGGTTTTCCAGGTGGGTGGCCACCGTGCTGCACTTTCAAAACAAACGTTTTTTCCATTGACAACAAATTCAATGGATAGCAAAAGTCTTAATAGCAAAAGTCTTACACAACTATTTCTTTTGATGTTACTGCTGAATGATCATGAAAACTCTTGAAACCTCAATGAATGAAGAGATAGTGACAGGACCCTCTTTTATTCTCGGTGGTCCTAGGCGTTATCTGTGGTCAAAAATAGAGTGAAATTATGATAATTTTTTATCATTCACAGCTACAAGTGTATATTGCATGCTTGCAGGGAAATCCAAGTCTTCTGTATGCATTTATTTACATTTGTCTTATTTCAAAGCGAATGAATTAATCATTCATATATTCAAATTCGTCTGCATTCACTCTTTTTGTTGTTGTTAAACACCAAAAAGGCCAGAGTGTGATTGTTCTTGTTTTCCAGTGGTGACATCTATAGCCAATAATTTGACTTCTGCTACACCCATTTATAGGGCAGACCTATTTATACATCCATTCATTCATCCGCAGATCGTAATTTTGATCTAGACCAAAGAACAATCAATTTCCAATTCAGCACCCCAGAGGGACCTATGGGAACATGAAGGACTTTGTGACTCAACAGATTAATTGTGCACCAGTTACTAGAGGGGAGCTTTTGGTCGGCTGGATTTAAACTCCCGTTCTCACAAATGGGAGTCCAGTGCCCCGCCAACCAGCCTATTTGGGTCTTTTACTCTTTTTGTGAAATGCTGTAATAGATGGCTTAGCACAATGCATTATCACACGTTCTCTAATGCGTATTAAAAGATATAATTTTAAAATTGTTAACTTTTTGTGCTAAAAATTTTCGAATGTAGTATATTCATAATGAAAATACCTCTTACGACCTGTATCTAGTTGTAACAACTCATTTGTATAACAACATCCACAAAAAGGAGTAAAAATATTTGCACTAACCTTTGCAATTTGTAAAAGTACAATGGAATGTTTCACAGCTTCCAATACAGCCTAGAAACATAAAAAAATATTTAATTAATTATGCATAAGTATAACGAAATATTCTCTTAATAAAAATCCCACAGCATATTTTATTTACATTTCAAAGACAAAACTATTACATAAAAAAAAAATTTAAATGATAATAGAAAAATTTAAAAACTGAGACAGTACTTTAAACTTTAAAATGAAAAATCAAAGCTAGCCGAATAATAAGGTTTAAAAAGATTTTAAAAAAAATTTCAATTTTATCATTTATCACACTTTTCTTGAGAAGTTCAATTAACTTAATCAGATTAAATATATAAAAGTTAGTACATTTTATTTATTTATTAACTACAAAACTTTATATTATAAATATTGTAGTTGAACAAGAAAAATAAAAAAAAATTTGGAGAAATGTAAATTTTTTACTGATTTTACAATAACAAACTTATTTGTATGATTGCACAATATTATGCCCACAAAAAAAAAGTATGTGATTAAAGTTAACATAAATATTTAAAAAATTAAATTGAAAAAACACTTGAGAGCTTGAGATTAGGATGAAATATCATTTAAAAGAAAATTTTTACAATCTCTGTAAAGATTGAGGAAAAAATACTTATGAAAATACTGTTTAAAACTTATTGTCCTTATTAACTAAGAGTAATAAGCTTTCTTCTTTTCCACTTTCTCTTGAAAGGATTAATAAATCATTTTGTAATATCATGTAAAAACATGGAACTAATAACTAATACAGCTCATATTAATATCATAAACTTTACTATTTGATATCGTAAATTGTATGGAAATCGTAAACTGTAAGAAAGCAAGACAGTTACTTCTTCTCCTACTATTAATAAAAATTCGTATCACATAAACATTGTCATTATTTCTTTTAATTTTCTGATAAACATAAAAATTATTATTCAATATATAATGCCAAATAAAAAAAAATTCTTATATTTCTTTCCCAAGTTTTAGAAAAACTTTCTGATCGTTAAACTATAAAAGGGATGTAGCTAAAATTTAATAACAGAAAATATATTAAAAATGCATGAAATATCTGCAAACATATGAAGTACATAGTGTGCGAAAATAATAAGCTCAAACTTACATTTGCATTATCTCTAACTGAGACAAGTTGATTACGGTCTTCATCAGATGCACAAGTATTAATTGTATTGTCTAAATCCTTAAAAAAAAATATTTATAAAAATAATCACTTTTTAAGCAATTACTATAACAAATATTTTTTTTAAATGAACCAAACTAAAAAAATTATTAAAGAGTACTAAAGTTCATGAATTGTACATTAATTTTTAATTGTTAATAGAGGCTCAGGATAGAAGAGTTATTCTAATTTCAGCCTCTCTTTTAATTACCCAATCAAACTGATAATAAACAGTTGACCTGTAACAGTCTATGGCTTAATCAAACAGTAATAAAAATGAAAATTCAATTTTTGTATCATCCTCTAAAGACTATTTTGTATAATCATAATGCTACAGGATTTCCACAACTGCACTTTATTATCTCTGTAATAAAAAAAAATATGTTAACCAGCATTTTTTTAATACTTGTGTGGAAGATGGTTTGATGATGCGAAGAAGGCACTCCAGTTAAACAAATGCAACAATATTTTTTAACTATTTAACTGTCATGCCTAAAATAATCTTGGACACAGCACTGGTGTTCCAAATTGTCACGCCGGAGTATTACTCAGGGTAATTTCTTTTGGTGCATTGTATTATTATACCCGAATACACATCGGGAAAAGTTTATTTCTGCTTCATCTCTTGTCAAATCGGAATCTATCACAGGAATCATCAATTTAGATGCAATTTAGAATAATAGATGGCAGCACTTTACTGAATGTTTCAATGGATAAGGGTTTATGTCCAAAGTGCAAGGCATTTTTTTGCAGCAAAACGGCATCCAGTTCTTGAAACGTTATTTAGATGATTCATTTTTTTAGAAAATAATTAAATTAATTTATTTTTAGAAAATAATGCTCCACTACAAGCGAACTTTACCACTGCCACATTGAATAACAACCGCCTCAAGCAAATATGCATTAAAATTTTCATGCATGTAATTCAAAATATAAATTTTTATGAAAAAAAACTAATTTTTAACTAAGTATATTTTATTTTGTACTAAACATTTGATTTTTGCAAGAAAAAAAAATTACAATTTATGTACTAAAAACATAAAAATAATTTGACAGTTAAAAGGTTTAAACAATAACGAAAATATATTTAAAAAAATGACATAGAGAATAGCATCTCCTATCCATGAGCGTGAGAGTAAGCCTGACTCTCACAAGGTTCCCACTCTATTTGCAGAAAAAAATTCCCTGACTTTTCCAGGCATACCAGGTAAATTTCAATGAAAATTTTCATTAAAAAACTTTGATTCTTTTATTTATTATGTGAAATATTAGATTTTCTATGTAATAAGAATATTAAATGAGGATGGAAACATTTCAGTTTGACTAAAATGTGAATTTTTTTCAACAAATAATTGTAATAGATGTAAGAATTATATAACTCGAATCTCAATAACAGATTACTGTTACTGACAATATTAAGACTGGTCATTTTCCAGGTATGATATAGGAATATTCTAGGTTTTTGCAAAAAAAAATTGCAACTTTCCCTGATTTTTGGAGTTAAACAAAATTCCCTGACAATTCCAGGTTTTCCTTGTTCTCCCTGACCCATGGGAACCTTGCTCTCATTGGTTTATGAAAAGTGTGTGAGGAGAAAAGAGATACTCTATTGGCCAATTAAGCCATACATGTTTCTTAATAAATATTAATCCCCTCTGCAGAGGATCAAAATTGTGATGGCATGTCTTCGGATCATCCTCAGGGGTATTTCGCAGACCGTCGCCAATAGCCCATTGTGCAGCTCTAGTGAGACATAAATAAACTACAACAACAACCTAATAAATATTAGAGTGGATATAATACCAATACTACAGATGAATTCCAAAGTGATATAAATATTAGAATACAAAGATATTAAAAAAAAAAAAAGAAACCCAAAAAAAAAAATATTCTATTTCAATTTCTATGCCAATATTCATTTATTTAGAAAAATAATCTTTTAACAAAAGGAGTTAAAAAAAGTTTAATTTTTGAAGAAATGTTCATATCTTCATGAATATAAGCATAAGTTATAATAAATTTACAAATAGATTTTAATGCAGGAGATCACAAATAAGTCACACACAAAAAATCATTCAACAATATTTAGCTTGTCGTGTTTTGTAGGTAGCATAAACTGTTCAATTTAAAATCCTGACAGAGTAAAATTTTTGATAGAAAGCTATAATGGCTGTGGCTAATTTTTTTCTGTTTCGTTATTACAAAAAAAAAAATTAGACCTACTAACTACTACTAAAAAATATACAAGTAGCTCAGGTAATACAAGTATATGAAGTTCTTAGAAGAAATTTTCCTTCAATTTTTTTCTTCCTCTGAATTTAGCTTTTATTTTCAATTTAAAACTTTTTCATGAGTAATTTTTTGTAAAATTTTTATTTTGCTTTTTAAGAAAATTTCATTATTCATTTTAACAGTGTTAAAATGTATCAGTGCCCTTTCCTGTGAGGAAATGCTTTTTTTATTCTTTGCGAGAACTCTGTAGATCATACTTTGAGTAGGACTTATTTCATATTGGGATATTTTGTGAATGATACTAAGAATCATTGCGTTACGTCAGGGGGTTACCAAATTATGGCCCAATAGCATCACCAATCTGGATTGCAGCAACAGGTCTATATTTAAAAATTTACAACATGAATTTTACATTATAACAATGTGTGAAGCTCATTAACTGAAACACATAATGAAAATAAGAATTTTAATTATAATTGACAGAAAATTTTTACTTATTTTATATGTTCAACTAGCAGAAGAATAAGTTAACACTTTCCTAAAGTTACAACAAAAATGTTAATAATCAAAATGCTTTACCAAAGATGAAGTAAGAAGATCAAAAGGTCACGTAAAATGCTTAAAATATTATGAAAACTGAACAATTTTCTGAAATTTTTTAAGATGGAACAGAAATAACCTTACTTCTAGGAACATGCAGACAAAATATTTTAAATGCTGCATTTCCTAATAAGCTAAATCTCTAATAGTTTCCTATGTATTTATGCATACTTTTGAGTTTCAGAATTAAATTTGAAATTTTTATTATAAGTAGCATTAAAAATAAAAAATTAAAAAAAACATAAACATCAGCTAACACAATCATCAACGAAAATTTGATTTAATTTACACTTGAGTAATTTGTTTATTCTCAAGAAAAGAATTGAACCTAATAAATCCTCCTTTATAGTTGATGCTGAATTATTATAAATGTATTTTAATGCCGAAAATAGTCCTTCTACTGAAATTTAGCAAACGGGCTATGCCACTTAGTTCAAGTCAAGTAGTGTTATGTTTTTGTGAGAAAGTTTTGATTTCCAATATAAAAAAATAAAAAAAATATTTAATAAAAGTAATGAATAATGATATAATTAAAATACTAATTAATGATATTTTCCTTAAATAGTATTTTAATTATAAAAATGAATTTTAGATAATACAATGATAAATATGTCATAACTATCAGACATTAGAATGAAAATAAATACTGCATTACCCAATTTAAAACAAATTTTTAAAAAACATATCTACATATTGTCAGCCAGACAAACAATAATCTGCATTTGTAAAATTATCCAGAAATTAAAATCATAAAAATCTTTTATTATTCAGTCTGAAAAATTTAAAAGACAGAAAAAAAGGTCCCACCTCTAATAGTGGCTCTTAAGACCCCAAATTTACAAAAAGAAGCAAAAAGGTAGAAGAGAGATTTAAAAAAAAAATTCTAATAAAATAATACTAACCGTCACTTGATCAATCAGCATCTGTAGATAAGCATCAGCTTCAGTTAACTTTTTATCAAAATCTTGTAGTGAGCTTGATACGCCATCCCATTTCTAAAATTATTTTTCATACACTGTAGAACTTATTGTATAAAGTTTATTAAATGAAAATCATTATTAATTAGCTAATTTACTTCTTATAAAAAAACTCTCACCAGAAATTACAATAAATAATCTTTGTACAAAATAAGAAATGATGAATGAACAATACTAACTGTTTGATAGCTGTAGCTCTGAGTATGTCTCAAAATTGTATCTTCCAAAGCATGTATCCATTTATCTCGTTCTTCAGTATCTCTAGCTATATGTAGGAGGGGAAAAAATACATGACAAATTTTATTAACAATGATAGATGAAATAGAAGTAAAGTAGATTACAAATATTTTAAGAAATTTTACTTTAAATAATAATGAACTGACTGAAGTAGCAGTTTTAGTTCATAGTGGTTAGTGGGGTGTAGTTTCTTTGTAGAATTAAAGTATTGTGGCCATTTTAGATTCTTCTTAATTTAGATATGATGTTGGGATATTTATTCCAGAAAAATGAAAAAAATTGTTTAGGAAAAATTAATTAATTATGTTAAACTTAAATTGAACATGGCTACATTCCAAAATTATAAAAATAAAGAAAAGAAGTTCCTTAAAGGGGTCAAGAAAATCATTCTCTTAACATCAAGAATTTCTTTCAAGATAGATATTCAACAGTTGGGACTGCAATGCCGAAGCCACCTGTCCAATCGCCAATAGTTGGAAATTTAAAAGTAAATGAATTGTTACCAACGGACAGTTAGGAGCATGGGAAGAGATCCATGGTTGGTGATTTATCAAAATATAACATAGCTAAAAATAAAGATAACCCCCCCCCACATNCCCCCCCATCAATATTAAAATTGAAAATAACTAAGTGAAAGCTGATCGCCAAAAAAAACTGAGAATATGTATAACGATATATCTGAAACATTTTTTGTGGTAAGAGAAATGAAGAGTTAAAAATAGTTATAAATAGATTTTTATTTTCGATTTAGTCCTGACAATGAATGAGTCTTACATTTTTGAAATAAAAAGTTAACCGTTACTTTGATTGTTAAGAAAAGAATTTTATTTTTGCTTTTCATAAAATGTAATAAAAATTAAATAATTGGTTTAATTTAATTAAAAGCTGATTACGAATGATCAAAAGAAATAAATTTAAGAAATTTTAAAAGCTAGGAAATATGTAATGCCTACTGTGGCTTCACACTGACCTTGAAAATGAAAGGTTTTATCATCAACTGTTATTGTAAATGTACTATCATCTTCATCATCAATTCCAATGATTGCACTCTAGAAGAAATATTTTACTTTAATAAGAACAATGCACCAATTAAATATTAAAGAAAAAAATAAAGTAATATCAGGTAAACTTCCTAAAATTATTTTTCATTTAATTAAATACTAGCCCACTGAATGCTAGCTTTAATTAATAAAAAAAAAAGTTTTTCTTACCTTTGAAATTTGTTTTATTGTGTGGTATTCAATATTTTTCATTCTTAATTTCGTTTGACTTTTAGAATATGTTTCATGCCTATTTGTTATATTTGTTTATACCATTTTAATAAACAGTTTCTCCACTTCCATAAAATAGTGATTTATCACAAGAAAAAGCTTTAAAAAATTACCTTTAATTTACTTTTTTTATGTGTTTTCTGAAGTAAACTTACTTCTTATCTCTTGATATTTATACAACCAGATAAAGAATTTTCCTTTTTTAACATTCTGATAGAGGAACAGATAAATTTTTTTTCTATTTTTGAGGGGGGAAAACTTATCTAAGGTAATTACCTCAAAAGTAATGTCACTGATTTTACTTTGAAGAAGATACACATTCTAACCTGTGATTGCTGAATAAATAAATTAGCACATATTTTTTTAAATCTTTATGGTTAGATAGTTTTGCTCTGAAATAAAACAATTTTTCCACAATGTGTGGTTTGTTTTTAATACTAAATACTTCTTATACACATAAGATTATTTCTGCACAACTAAGTATAAATATACTAAATAATACAGTATCATTTTTATACAACAAAGCAAAAATTCATGAAAAATTTAAAAGGGGAAAGATAAAATATTTAATATCTAATAAATTTTTTTCATCAGCATATAAAAAAATGTAAGGATGTCATTCTCACATTTTGAAAAAACAATCACATACACCTCCCTTTTGCAAGTAATCATCATAAAGCCAGGGTTAAAATTTTAAAAATTTGGAAATTCGTGAGAAGAGAATTCAAGACAAAATCAAGTAAATCGGTACTCTTTAAAAAAGGATTACTAAAATGTGTCTTGTGAGTTTTGCCTGTTGTAACAAATATTGCATTAAAAAATATCAGATTTTAAAAACAGTGTAGAAATCAGTAGGAATAACTGCCAAAAGATCCTAGATTGTTTTGTTTTTTTTTTCAGGTTGTTTTTTGCTTTAATATTATGTCTACATCACTGCAGTGCTAACTTTCCCTATTAAATTTAATCAATTAAAAAATTGCACCACAGTAAATTATCTTTATAAAGAGTTGTGCCCATGACAAATTGTCAATTCGTCAGATTGTGCCTACAAGAAATTGTCTCTGCGATAAGTTACTCCTCGAGTTGTCGTCATTGTGAGTTGTGCGCAATGAATAGACGCAGAACCTTGCATATTTAACACATAATCTGTTATCTGCAGAATTGATTGATTGAATGTAGGGTTTAGTGGCACAAGGTCCAAATGAGGACATGCTGTGCCAAACAATGCGGTGAAACTGTAATCTGCAGAAAATTATGGTACTAAAATAGCACACCCTGAATAAATAAACGAAAAAGAGCATAGTACAAATATTTTAAGTTTAAATTCCAATCATTCTCAATTTCACTAAGCTTATCAAATGAGAAATGTAAAAATTAATAGAATTTAACGTACCTTTAAACGCACACAGCCTCTCCGAGCTCCTCGAACCATTTTTTCTTTAGACTAAAATGATATAAACACATTTATTTATTTGATATCCCTCTATTAATCAATCTAAAATTAATAAAAATATTTGAAATAAAATTAATATTTTTTTAATTATTTAATATATTAAGTTCTTAAGTGTTATAATTAATGGTTTTTCTAACCATTCTTTCTTAATTTTTTTTTTTTTAAATTTCTCAATACACATAGTTAAATTTTTTTTCTTTTAAAATTGTATCATCATCTTCAACTTTATAAATATACAGTTTTTTTTTTATTTTTTCAAAAGTTACAACAAAGTTTGTGTTTTTATTTGTAATAATAATTGTAAATTCTTATCATTTGCACATAACTTTAATTTTTAGCTCTAAGTACTATATAAATTAGCTAAATTAACTTAACATATAAAAACTAATATGCATTCAATGTGTTTCGAGAGAAAAAGCATAAGTTTACATTTTTATGTAACAATCTGTCCTTAAAAGATAAAAATAATAGCAATACATTAAGTTTCCAAAATTAGATTAAGATAAAGAATCTATTAGATTAAGATTCTAAATCTTTCCCCAAAATTAATTGTATTGCAACAGAAAAATATGTAATATATAGATACCAAACATTTAACTTTCCTGTTAAAATTTAAATGTTTGAACCATGTAACTTTCCTGTTCCTGAAATCTCATTCAAGGCTCAGGACTGAAAACTTAAAATATTTCAGAAAATATGAATTATTAATTCAGAAAAAAAATTTTAAAAATTTTATTAATGCTATAAGAGCATTTTTTTATTTTGGTAACTAACATGCCCTTTTAAGGGATATTTCTGTATCGTGATCTGCCAAAGCCAACTACAATCGCCAAGGCACTAAATTGATTTTAAATACGAAAAATTAGAAAGAAAAAAATAAAAGAAACATGTAGAGGTTAAGGGTGGCTATGAGTAGCTATATCTTTTGAGTTGGTCCCTTTCTGTGCTTTTTTTTTTTTTTTTTTAAAGTTTCTAGCAGACCACTGCCAGGAAGTTGCTAAGACTTGGTGATTATTCTGCCACAGATTACAATACACAAATCTTTTTTACTAGAATTCTTTTATTAATTTTAGATTTAGTTAAGATTTCCGATTGTAGTTTTAATTCAAAAGAAACAATATTCAAATGTTTGTCATATAAAAACTAATACATCACTGTATAACAGATGATATATCAATAAATAAAATTTCATACACTGTGACTTTTATACCCATTCTGGAAAAGAGTGGCATTTATTTTAAATCTTTTAAAGGAGATGGATATTTAGAAAGAAAAAGATTTTAAAAAATCATAAAATACAGGGAAGTATTTTTAAATATACTTTACTGTAACATTACAAAAAAAAAGGCATTGATTGAAACTAAATACGTATTTCAAAGGGAACATATTAATGGAAATTGTAATAATTACTTATTATATTATTAATTAATAGGTACAAATAATACTTGAAGAATTATACTTGATAATTTTAGATTTCACCCTTTTTCCCATGGTAAAAAACAATAAACGAAAAAATTTTATCTCATTAAACTAACTCATCACGTATCTCATTAAACTAACAAATATAAACGCACTGTATAGTAAGATAATAATCCTGCATTGTCGTCAAGCACAAACCATCTATACTGCCATCCTTTCATCACATTTGTCCATTTACTAAGAGGACCTTCCATTATCGCCATTAATGTGTTTATGAGAAACTAAACTAATGAAGTGCTCAAAATATAAATTTATGAAATAAAAAAAATTAATTGTTAAAGCAAAAAATAAGCAAAACGACGATTTTTTAATGATATTCTTCAGGAAACACCCTCTAACGTCAATTTCAGTCTGATAACTTTGTTTTCAGTTTCGTGTTGTAATTTAGAATCAGAGAATTTTATAAGACCGTTGTGGTGTGCTTATTTCTTGAACAAATATTCACCATACAGTGGTTCAACAAAAAAAAAGAAAAAACTTTTCAACTGTTGGCAACAAAAAATCAACTGTTCGAGTTACTTAGGTTTGGCTCTTTTTGCGTGATTGGCCTGTGTCTCTATACAGCCAATATAAATAAAACTGAAGTCCCGCAGTGGACTAATCGTTAAGACACGGTTCCCAGCAGATCACCAAAGTCAAGCATCACGGGCTGCGGTCAGTGTGCGGTTGGGTGACCACTTGGATCAGTCTGTGTAGGTGCCGAGGGTGTGCGGTATTGGTCCTCGTTAAACTGTTGTACCGTAAAGTGCTAGACTTCACGTGCAGGTCATCGGGCAACCGAAGCGGGTGTGCCATCCCCTCTGCAAAGGATCAAAATTGTGATGGCATGTCTTTGGATCATCCAATAGGATCATCAATCAACTTTAATTTAATTATCGGCACATTTGTAGTGATGTACTGATTCATTTTACTGAATGAATTCTTACAGCATAATGAATTGTTTCATGAACAGATTTTTTTTTTTTTTTTTTTTTTTACCAAAAAATAAAAAGAGATCCATAGCTAGCAATTTTGCTGAACAGAAATTGGAGTTAGTTGTTTTTTTAAGAGGGGAAATGAGTTGGTGAATTGGAAAATCTTTTTCATTAAAAAATAACTAATTATTCCATTTTAAGTAATTGTTCCTTCTCACTGTCAGTTTTGTCGTTTGAAAGTGAAGTATATAAAAATATTACTTGTGTGGAAATATTTGCATTAGAAATAACTGGAAAAAACTCTTATTTTATTAAAAGATGCATATAGCGTATATTTTCCTAAATGGAGAATTTGAATATTTTGGGTCGACAGAAAGCTCCCATCAGCCCTGCTGATTTTGGATCAATTAAAATAACTTAAGTATATAATTATATAGTTGGATCTTCGTGTCGGTTTATTGGAATGGTTGAATACCTTGACTATTTGATTGTACTGAGATGAAATGATCTTCTGTTGGCTAATTTTTTACCATTGAAATTGACTGTTTCTTCATAGTTGCTAATTTCTGTCGAGGGTTTCATTTTGATATTCAGAAGGAATTTTAAGCTATCCTTAAAATTACAGCTTCTTTTCATTAAATTTAAATTTCGTGCACTATAAAGCGAGATATTATTCCTTAAAGAGTATTCTGTTATTATGTTGACAATTAGGAAAAAGTTTAGAAAACTTTGTTAAATAAAAAAATTTCAAATTAATAATAAACTGTAAAATTGTCCAATTTATTTTTGTCCAATTAGTTTTACTGAAAAATCAGGTGGTTTGTTGCTATCCCGAGTATCTTCTCCACTACACTTCTACACTCACAAAGTATATGTAGTAAAGAGCGGACTGCCATCTCAGAATAAGCATGTAACCTTACGACAAACTTGTGTCGAAATTGTCACGAAAATGCTTATACTAAAAACCTTTTTTCAATAAAGCAAAAATATTGCAGTTTTAAACCTTTCATCCTAAAAGGAATAAAAAAATTTTTTGAAGCTTTTTAAAAGGCATTGGCGATCGCAACTCTCGAATACGCCATCTGGGGAGAGACAGGTTTCATGCCTTTGGCCCTTTTCCCTTCCTTCTCCTCCTCTCTTCAGTTGCATAGGAAAGTACTACTATATTTTCCCTTTTCTTAATATTTTTCCTTTTTATTTAATAAGAATATTTTTTTTAAATTTCAGTGATGCTTTACAACTATGTTTAATGCAGTTTTTAGTTCCATATAGTTTACCAAATTAAAAGATTTTAATCCATATGAAAATCAAGAGAGAAACTAACGTACTTCCTTCCTCTATGACTTTCCACAAACTAATGGCGAAAGCATGCGAAGTGTTGCCAAAGGTAAAGAGTTCTGCCCTACGCTACCTGCAGCCCACTTCGATCGACAATTGTCACATATCTGAAATGGTCATTTAGGTCCATAATGACGTTTTAGCGTACGTCTTGCTAGCGATAGGATAAAATTGCATTGTCTATTAAAATTTCATGACAATTATGGTCCCAGATAGCAATATAAGGTTTTTTCAACACAACAAAAATCTTTTCATGCAAACCTAAAAAGGGTTTTTTACACGGTTTACGTGTAAACCTTCTAACCTTAAAACAAGGTCTGCGACAATCTGCTCTATTCTACGCACAT